TGGCTTCCCATCCAGCAGCTTGCCCCCCCCCCCCCCCGTTGCTGCATCCGGGCCCTGCACAGGCGTATTTGCCTCAGGCCCCACACCCTGCTACGGCTGTCTCTGGTGGCCATGCATTATAAATGTGGTGCAGTTACTGTATTAAGGGCTCAACTTTCTGGGGAACCCTAAATCAGCGGGTTCACAATTTTCTAACATACTAAAATATAAAAATTAATATTAGGCTGTATAATTGCTTAAGTGAATTTAATTACAGTGGACCCGCCTAAGTAACCAAAATGCCAAATGTAATAAAAAGGCTCCATTTGGCTCTAAGCCTACATATTTTAATAATTATATCAAACAATGAGTAAAGAATTTAGGGAATTTAGGCATTATGTCAACTCTTTTTGTACTTTTTTTTTTTTAAGTGAGGTTTCCCACTTGTGATTTCAGTCCCCATGATTTAAGTGGATTGACCTCCCTTGTAATTACATGTGTTGCCGTTGCAATGTATGATTATGATTCACTTTGGTATATAAGAGTATATATGCAATATATATACAGATTTCCCCATGGAAGAGTAGGGTTTTTTTTTAAATGTTATGGATAAATGTGCAACTGCAGCTAGGCAGAGGAAGAGGACAGGATGACCTGGGCAGCTGTCCTGGCTGCTGACTTGTGGATGAAGAACCGACCAGTTGCTGCTGCTGCTGTGCAGTTGCAATCGGAAGTTGCCCTGTGTGTGTCATCTGGAGGGGGGATTAAATGTTTTGCCTATTCTGCTTCTAAGGGTCTTCTCTCGCCTCTGGTCCGTTGTCTTTTGACAGGCCCTATCGCTGTTCTGCTGAGTAGCTCTTATAGTTGATAATGGATTTGCCATCAAAAGTCACAATGAGATAGTGGAATGCTGTTATCTGCATTTCCTTACTATTTCATCTCTCTGACCTTCACCAATTAGTAACTTCCCATCCCAAATCACTCAGCCTCTCTGCAATTTCTGCTCCATTCTTCCCTGCCCTCCTTTCCTCTTCTGTTGTGGCTGTTGATTACTTCTGTGCTTCAGTGTTCTCAGCTCTTAACTCTCCTGCCATCTTTCCCGTCACAGGCTCCTTTGGCTCACTTCCAATACCTGATTTCCGTGCTTTGTGTGATAATGTGACGCATGGAAATCTTATGACTAGACTGATTTCCTTCATGACCAATTCATCCTCTCGTCCTTAAAGCCTGCCATTGTAGCTACACAGTTCTGCCACCCAGCTGAATTGAATCTGCCCGCCATCTCAGCCACCTGTTGACCACCTTGGACTCTTTTCTCAAACCTGGGATCTCCTCTCGCCTCTGCTTTTCTGTACATCTCAGTAGTTTGTTCCAGGAGAAAATTAACAAAATACCACAGGACCTTCTTCAATTCTGTCCTCCCTTTCCTGTCTCAAACAGAGACGTTTCTCATCTGCTTCTTCCTTTAACCCCCTCATTTGTCCCAGTGAGTCCTGTGTGCTGATAACTCTTACGTATTTTCCTTTCTGCCCCAATTCTGTCGTGTTTCATCTAAAACAGAATCGGGGCCTGGTTCCCTAAATTCTTTACTCAAGCTGTGCATATCTGAACCAGCCCATAATCATGGCCCATTCCACCACACGGCCATCCCATTACCTTCCTTTTCCATCTCTGTAGACGATCCCACATCCTGCTTACCACTCTCATTCATAATCCAAGCGTTATCTTTGACTCTGACTTCTTTGTGTTAGCCATGTTAATCTGAAGTCAGTGAGAAGGCAAGGTAGATTTTATATATGCACACATCTTAATTTAGTTGGTATGCGAGAGAGCATATTCAGGCTCTTTTGTCACTTTCTACTGAACACCTCAAATGTATGGCTTTTCTTATCTATCCATGCAACTAATCTTATAATGTTGATTACTGCAGCATCCTCTTCTCTGGCACTGAGAAATTCAGTCTTATTCCTCTTGTAGCCATTCAAAGTATGATGGACGAGATCATTTTCTTAGCCTGTTCCTGTGAGTGTATAACTGCGTTTTTTTGCTTCTCTCCATTGGCTCCCTCTCTTCTTTCCAAAATTGTAAACTACTCGTGTTTGCTTTCAGGGCCTTGTTAGCTACAGAGATGCTGACTTCCATTTCTGAGCAGTGCGTGGTGCCAGGCTCTGTTGTCCACTTGCTAAATATTCAAGTAAACCACTTTGTGATACTTTGCTCTGCCTTTCACGTTCACAGTAACAAACGTACCATATGATCTTCCTTCAGACTTCTCCTGAAAGTTCTCCTTTGCTGTGATGCCTGCAAAAACATCATGCTATCCATCTGTTGGCTTTTGTTTTTGAGCAGGGCAGAAAGAGTTGCATTTGTTTTTTCTTATGTCGTGGAACATGATGGGGCCCTTGTCTATGACTAAGACTCCATGGTGCTGTGTAATAAGAAAAGTAAACTAATACTTAAGGAACAGAAACATCAAGAGACAAAACCAGAGGTTGGCAATGTTTTTGGGCAGAGTGCCAAAAATACCTGCAATTTCATCATGGAAGATGTTGGCATGCCATGGGCATGGCTGGGGAGCTGCGAAGGGCCCGATCTTTCTTGTGGCAGTGTAGCTCCGGCCCCTTCCCCATAATCTGTCCGAAGATGCATGTGCCTACCATGGGGCCCAGGCTGCTCACAGCAAGCAGTGGGGAGGCTGCAGGCAGCTGCACTGGGGTCTAGAGAGCCCCAGCGCAGCTCATTACCACGACCAGGTGCACACATGCCTTGAGGCAGATGGCGGGGAAGGGGTTGGGGCTGTGCTGCCACAACAAGGATCAGGCCCCTCAGCTTCCTCGCCATCCATTCTGAAGTGCACATGCCAAGTAAAATGCCTTCGTATGCCACACACTGGCACATATGCTGAGGGTTGCCTATCCGTGGAGTAAACCCAACATGTCTCAGGTTAGATTGACCCAGGTCACACTAGTTTTAGGGTAGAGCCCTAATCATCATCACTAGGCCATCCTCCTTGAAGATCAAAATCCCGAGTCAGAAGGAAATTGCCTAACAGCTCTGTGCTTCAGTTTATCTGCTAGTAAAATGAGCAATGTTTCCTCATACAGATTGTTGAAGGGGCTTTTAATATTTGTGTGGTTATGAAAAAAACATTCACTTTCTCTGGTACTTAAGATTACAGAAGAAAGGCAGAATGTCTGCTGTTATTTATTCAACTTTTAATTCTCTTTTGCTAGACAGCCATGTTTTCTAGTAAGTGTAGTGCAGAAAGCCAGGCAAAAGTTGTTCGTAGGTTATCTGTAGTGGAGGGAAATGGGCATTTGTCTCTCTTTACTTTATAATGTACAGCATTGGGCTGCAAGCTTTTAGGGTTCATTTCTTTAAAAAATGGAGAGAGAGAGAGAGAGAGAGTGTGTGTGTGTGTGTGTGTGTGTGTAATGTGTGTATATGTATAAAAACAGAATATATTTATAGCATGTGTATTTTCTCTGTTTTTAACATATATGAAATGGATATATATTCTCAGCTTGTTTTTTAACATTGGAATTTCAATCCCTTGCCAAGCTAGAAGATGGGTAAACATAAAACTTGGGCAATGAGTGTCATTCTGCAAACTGACAGTGAAAGCTTAACTATTAAGAGAAATAAGTAGTTTGGGTTAGACTGAAAAAAGCACAAAATGAAAATGTTCAAAAACATACTTAACTATAGTAAATAAAAAAAAGCCTTTAGTAAAGGCTCAGAACCCTGTTTCTTCCATTTGAGGTACTGCAGCATGTAATAAACATGCTCTAAACGCTAAGAATCCTTCAGCAAAACTGAGAAAGGCAGAACTTGAAAGTCCCAACTTCTGAAGTGAGAAAAAATTGTAAAAAGCAAAGTCCTTTTACAAACCTAACTTGAAAACTAAACTGATCTTAAGACTGTTGCAGTCCAGGGTATTTTGGTAAACTACTATTTTCTTTTTTTAATCTGTTCTATGACATTGGTCTCCCTTGATTGTTTTATTCCATCATGGATTGAATCCTTCCTGAACATTGTAGCACCTGTGCAAGGTGGAAGCTTAGCAGGAGACAGTTTGTTCCTCTAATGGTGCATCCTTGAAATACGTTCACAAACACCATAATTGCCATAGGTATCACACTAAGATTTGTACAGTGTCTTGAGTAACTTGTTTATCAAAAATATGCTTGTGCCCTTGCTGTAGGTTGAGTCATTGGCGAATTCAAGAGAGTCCAACATCTGTGGTAAAGGAGAATACTTCCATCAACATCACTGCTGTAAATACTGTCCTGCTGGTAAGTTCATAGATCATTACTCAGCTTAGCTAGAAAATCATTTTCCAGCAAAAATTTGTGCCAGTCTAGTGTTTGCACGTACAAATTAAAAAGAGAGAGAGAAAACCATGTATATTTTGCAGAAGTTCAAGAGCCATTTTGTGCTTCCTATTACTCAGTGGCTCTTGTGCAACTTGCCGCAGAATGGCTGCCAGCCTTTCACACAATAGGGTGTGGCTCGGCAGTTTGTCAAGAAATGTGTGTGCATGATACAGAGGTGAAGATATGTCAATACTGCAGAAACTGTTCAAAGTTGAACAGACTGTACTCTTGGAACCAGAATACTCCCAAAATTTTGAATGCTCATTTTATTCCTCCAGCTGTACTTTATGATGGCTTACTGAGTACAAGCACAAAAATATCAAGGCTCTATAGAAATTTTCTATCTGTGATAACTTATAAGAATTGTTGTATGTTGTTTCCTTTGTAAAAATGTAACAACTTCAACCTCCTGCAAATCTTATGTATTCTTCTGTGCTGGAGTTTTGTTTCTAGAGTTGCCTGAATAAAAAAAATAAGGAGATTTTATATCCATGTTTATTTTGCAAATCATTTCATCTTGGAGTGTGTGTGAAATTATTCTTCCCCTCTACCTTCCCCTCTCTTCCTTAGCAGCATTTTTTACTTAATTTTGTGCCAAGATTATCGCTGTCTCTGACTGGTTATCATCTTCAGAGGCTTATCCTCTAGATTTTTAAAGTTAATTTTCTAAATCTTGTGAGTACTCAAACACGGAAGTCACTTATGTGCACAAGGCCTGCACAAAGCCTGTAAATTATTTTATTGTATCCTGGGTCACATTTTGAGGACTTGGCCACTGATCCTATTAAGGATAACCCGTAGGCATAGCAGTCTGGTTGAGTGATGTTCACAAGCGCAGCAGTCCACCCAGGTGTTATGCACTGCATGACTGGCATAATGTCTGAGCATTGTGCATACTGTCTGAACAGGGGTGAATTCACCTTGAAGTGAAGAGTTAATGGCACTAGTTTTGGAGAGGCACATGGCATGAATTATTAAGAGCTTCTGCCTCAAATCTCTCTGCTCATCTGTTTCTCACTTTCCGGAACAGAAACTTTTAGGTGTGCTGAACTATGGGTTGGCAAATAAGGAGGTGAACAGGTATCTAAGTAGAACTTGTAGGACTGAAACAATTTTCTACAAAAAATGTAAGCTCTTTTTTGCAAATAGAGCAGATCAGGGGTAAATATAGTGTTGCCAACAAGATTGAAAATATTGGTGATGTTCTTGAAAACATTTCCCTCTATTCTAACTAGCTCTGTTTATAAAGTGAGAGAACCCCCCTGCAGTACAAATAGACTGTTGTTATTTATTGCTTACTTTCTAAAGCAATATGGCCACCAATGTGAAGTTTTACTGCATATACATAAATTATGTTGCTCACCTCCTTTGAAAAGTGTGACTGAATGAAATGATGCTGGAGCAATTCAGGCTGCAGTATACTCATTTCCAAGTAGTATCAGGGGACAGGTAACTGGATTTTAAAATTATAGCATCTCCTTTGCTTCTCCTTTTTACAGGCACTCATGTTTTGGAGCACTGCAGAGTTCAACATGGAGAAAGCTTTTGTTCCTCTTGCACAAAAGGAAAGGAATACACTGCTCATGAAAATGACCTAGAAGAATGTCTGCAGTGCAAACAGTGTAAAGAAGGTACAGTTCTAAATTCAGATTATTTTATTTTTAAGTGAAAGCCTTGATGTTTTTAGAATTGGGGTTGGAAGGATCGTGAGGGTCATCTTGTCGAAACCCCTGCACAAATGCAGGTTTTGCTCTTCCTATACCATCCCAGACAGATGTCTATCCAGCCTCATCTTGAAAACCTCCAAAGGAGATTCCACAAAATCTCTAGGCAACCTGTTTTCTGTCACTGCTTGCAAAACAACTTACCTTAGTCTCTTCTTTATTTTTGTAGAGCAAAGAACAATGGTGGGGGGGGTTTTATATAACCTGGATGTGATTGACATTAGAAAGAACCCCAGCTTCAGCTTTGTTATATTTTTAATTTAAATATCTTAATTTTTCAGACAAAGTAACTGTAAGGACCTGCACTTTGACGAGTGATACCGAATGTCAGTGCAAGCCCGGGTATTTCTGTCCTACTCAACACTGTGAAATGTGCTCCAAATGCAAGACAAAGTACGTACAGTAACTGATTTAAACAACTCTTTCCTATTTGATCAATAAAAGCTAGGATCCAGATCCCACAAATGCTTGCATGCATGTTTAAACATGTGATTAATCCCTTTGCAGCTTGTGTATTTAAGCTGGGTTTTCTGTCTAGCTTCACCCAAGTATTTTCCAAGAGAGCATTTTTGGTGCACTCGATGAAATATAGTATATTCTAGCATAGACATGCGTGGGATCCATGGGTTCTGGTGGTATTGTTGTGGGGGATGTTTATTGTGTTAGCAGTTGGAACGAGTAGACAAGTTTTTGCATTTCTTGTTAAGACAGGGTTGTGTCCCATTAGGTGTATGTTGGTCATTGGGAAGTTTGCTTTTGACAATAAGCTGGCTGACATTAGGAGTTGTTTGAAAGCTGGGGAAGGAGGCTGGTGGTTGGGAATATTTCTCTCAAGATCTGAACCTTTCAAGTATAGTCTGTACTATATTCCTTGGTAATCCTTGCCAATTCCAGTGTGGGATGGTATGCGACAACCAACTCAAGCGGCTGGTTCTTTCTTAGACCTGAAAAAGAATGCTGGGTGCCCAAAAGCTTGTCTACAGTTTTTCCCGACCAAGCAGTTGGTCCAATAAAAGATACCCCTGCAAAAAATATCTATGGTTGCTGACAGATATGAAAACTGCCCCCGCCCCCACCAACACTATGCTTTACTGGGAGAGGTAGTGGATTAGTTCGAACCAGCTCTGCAGCATCTATAGATCAGGCACTTCAGTGGGGCTTTTTGGCACTTTTAGTAGCTGATTCAATCAGCTATTAGATAAGTGCCAAAAAAAGCCCTACTGATGCACCCAATCTATACTGAAGTTGGGCAAGCCAGGTCAAACTAACGCAGTGCCTTTTCTGGGCATGTGCTGGGCTCGGCACAAGAGTGCACAGAGTTTAAAGTGAAGCATTGTTTTTGTTTGTTTTTACATCTATAAGCAGCCTTTTGTTTCTCTCGTGTTTCCTGGATCGTCACAGCTATATTATCACTCCTAATACTGCCATATTTTGAATAGGTTTTCATGTTCCTCCAATCAAGACTGTTCATGTCAGTAGTACTACACAGAGTTCTGCACCATAAAGCCAGATGCTTAAAGAAACTAACTCTGCATTTAATTGATTAATGTTGACTCATTTATTTCAGTGAAAAGTACTATTTTGCTGACCATGTGATCCTGATGTCCTTTTGATGTAATCTTGTAGTACCCTTTTTTCTTGATCTGTTTCAAGTACTCTTTGGTGGGTGGTGAGGACAGATTTTCTGTCCAAATATGTGCATGCTGATTAAGTTTGTAAAATATTCTTGTAAACTGCTTGTTTGTTTGTTTGTTTTTAATTACAGGTGCCCAGAAGGAAAGGAAATTGTGCAAAAGTGCAATGCTACAATGGACACAGTGTGTGGTTCACTTTCTGAAGGTATTGTATAAACCATGCTAAAAGAGGCTGTTTGCTTCTAAGTTACTGAAAGTCACAGAACCAATTTTTAGACAAGGATTTTAAATCCTACTCTTAAGCACGTGTGAATTACTACAGCTCTTCATTCTAGGAACCACTAGATGGGAACAAAGATCCACCCATGTAGTGCAGGGTATATTAAAAATCAGTTATCCAATGAGCTGTACAGAGGGAGATTCTGCAAATTAGAATTATTTTGGTGGAAAGTGCTGCATAGTTAGTAAGCCCTTCCAAGTTGTAATACTGGTATTGTTTAAAATATATATGTATTTTATATAATAAAAATAATATATACCTGTTAATATTAAAATAGTATCCATCAATTATAATAACTATTGACTTTAAACATAGGGGTCGTTAATCGCATTAGTATGAAGTCAGGGAGAAGGTAGGGCAAAGTGTCACTTAGAGACTAAGTGATGAGAGGCATGAGCTGTTGTAGGCAACAGCCTGCTTAGTCAGATGCTGTGAATGGATGAATTGTGGATAAATTGTCTGTTCACTGTGTCTGACCAAGTGGGTTGTTGCCTACAAAAACTCATGCCTCCCTGAACCATTTAGGGCAAGGTGGCACTTTTAGAGACTACCTTCTGTCTTAATATGAACTTAAATGTTGGCTGCATCATGCCATGGATCTGAAAAGGTACATAGCACATCTTTGTCTTTTCAACCAGTAAAATGTTTTTGGATATTTTTATACATTTTTCAGCTTCAGTTGTATAGCTTCTGCTAGTTTCAGTGTAAAACGACGTGGCCATTGTAATATCTAATCAGTTTTTAGAAGCTGTCTAAGTAGTATCAGATACTGTATCAGCTTATGAGGCTTCTTACCAAATTTTAGTGATTTACAATCCATGTTTTCCTTTCTTTTTTATGTGTGGTTCTCCCCTGTTACATGGTTTCTTGCCCAAACTAGAAAAATGCTGATATCTGGAGGAATCGGTGAAAAGAGAATTGTCAGTCTTGTTAACTAGACAAAGCGAACAAACTAGAAAATTGATTCCCATCCCCCCCATTATTTCTATAATAGTAATCAAATAGGGGTAGGTTTAAAAAAATACAGATGGTCTCAGTAGTGGATCCATGATGCTGAAAAGGAGGACTTGGCAGCAGCAGCAAACTCACTGTGCATGTGCCCAGCAGCTGACCCCGGGGCTCTCTATGGAGAAATGGGGTGCAACCCCACCACTACACTCCCCCCTCCAGATCTACCTGTGGGTCACGTTGGTTTCTTGTTCTGTTTGTGAACAAAAATCAGTAGTGCTTTTGGGTAGGATTATGACACATGGCACAAACCCACAACTAGATGTTCCATTAATATTGAAATCCTGGTTATGCAACCTGTCTTGTGTCAGAGGTTTAAATGCAGTGCTATGACAAAGTGTTCAACTTCTTGTTTTTCGGTCTTGCTGCATTTTTTATCTGCACCCTCAACAATCCTATACTTCTTCAATATATTTTGTTTATGGCCTGCCTAGCATTTATTCCTTTGTCTCTCTTCTTTCATAGGGTCCACCACTATAGTTGTTGTGGTTACTGTTTTGCCCTGCTTCTGCCTACTTGTGGCTGTAGGCATGATCTTCATCATCATTTGTAAAAAGAAGTCTAATAAGACAAATACAGGTAACTGAAATTCCTTTTGATAGATGATCTTGATGGAAACTCAAGATTTCAAAGCTAGACAAGAAAGAGCTGGACTTGTCCATAATGCCTTGCACAAACTATACTAGTCCTGGATTTCTGGTTCAGTTGAGCCATGGTTCCACAAGTTATCTGTTATGTTTAAAGTTAGCCAGGTGCTTACCTACCTTACTTTAATAGGGGCTTCAGCCTCCATGAAATTGCCTCAAAGGAGTTTTGCTATTTAAACTTCAGCTATTTCTGTAGGTGAGAGTGGTCTAAGTGCTGAGGCTCAGAGGTAGAGAATGGTAAGAGGTAACAAATCCAATTTGTTATGTTAGGTGCTTTAATGTAGTGGAATTTTGTCTGGAGTATTGCACTTGGTTCTCTTCAGCTAGTTAAGCATCAGTGTTACCTGAGCTTCTAAATCCTGAAAAACAGTATTTCATATCCTGAAAGATGAACACATTTTCAAAAGTAAGGTGGAATTGTGCATATGTTTGCATTATTGCAGATAAAGGACACCAGCTACAGAAAATATAAGTATGGTAGTATAGCTCAGTCAGAACAGGAAGATATCTTACATTGCACCAAATTTTGCTTTCTGTTATATTGGCCTCAAACAGGAATTTAATTTCTAGCAGTGGAAATTTCTGCTGCTAAAAATGTTTCTAGGAGGGGAAACAGTACAGGCTTTTAGCCTGCAGCTGCTCCCTCTTGCTTACCTTTCACTTCTTCTCCAAACTGGGGAGCTCCCAGTCTGAGAAAGGTATGGGGAACAGCAGCATCTCCAGTCCTCCTGGTCCCAGGGGAACTGGAGCAGTGGGGCAGAGCCCCTAGCCCTCTCTCCAGACCAAAGACCGATGGTCTAGACCAGGAGTGGGCAAATTTGGCCTATGGGCTGGATCCAGCCCACCAAGCTGGGCAGCAGGGGCAGGCATTTGAAGTCAGCTGGTCTGCAAACTGGGCTCAAGGAGACTCTCTCCCCCACCTGTGGTCCAGCTGGTTTGAGGAAGAGGCAGGGAGCAGTGGCTGCTGTTCACCTCCCTTTCCAGACCAGATTGGGAGGGGAGAGAACTCTCTCATTCTTGTGAGAGAATCTATCACAAGGGAGAGCTTCCAAATAGACACTGGAAGATCATTCACCAGAGAGAATTTCTTCCAGTGGAAGCATGCCGAATAGGCTTGTGGTTTCTTCTGGGAGAGAGCATTTCTCCCAATAGAAATGCAATGTCTGTATACAGCTATTGTTTCAAATGGCTATAAGCTTTGATCAAAATTTGTCCCACTGACTTTGCTGCCCCAAAGGTAGTCTGAAAAGGAATTAAGGATTTGCATTATCTGAACAGATTATTATGATTTATAGGAAAATTAATGTTGCCTAAAATACAGTGGACTGTATCTGAACTAGACCTCAGAGAATTTCTGGTTAATATGCATTTAGTGTGTAGAGTTAGTTTGTAGACTTGAAGGAGAAAAGTCTTCAGTTCCCTGGACTTCCAGTCTCCTTCAGAAATCACCTGCCTTTAAACTTGTGGATCAGATTTGTGAATCTGTGTAAAAACAATAATGATAACTCAAAGTAAACAGAGAACAGTACAGCTGTATATAAATAATATAATTTCCTTTTAAAAATGCCTTATGTATATCTTTTTCCTATCTTACAGTAGAAAACGATGAAGAAAGAGAAGTGGTAAGTTTTTCCTTTGAATAAACTTGTTTGTTTGTTTGTTTTTGCCCTGAATGTTAGTATCATAGAAATTAGTTTCAGTTAAACAACTAGAAATTGTGATGCACAGTTCTGATTATTGTTGTATGTTGGGAAAAGTCTTCTCATTTTAGGCTTTCATAAAAAAAACCCCAAACCCATTAATTTACTTCCTGCCAATGTTGGATTGCCCTCTCTAGTCCTTTAGTATTTCATTTTTAAATATCCAACGGGATGGGACTTTGAGCAGTTCCCCTGGAAGAATATTCTAGTTCCCTAATATGGCTCCTTGCCAGTTAATTTTTCCTGCTAGGAAAGAAAAAATAGGTTAACTGCCTACTATTGCATCTAGTTCTATTCCCCTTGTGATGTTCTAAATAGTTTCCTTCATACATTAGTGCCTATCCTTTCCCAGTATGTCAAAGTATCATCCCCTAACACCCAGATGTTAATCATTGCTTAGCTTATTTCTTTTTATAAGACCAGGAACTTTTATCTATTATGGTCAGTAAAACTAGTAAAATGATGGAGACTATTCTCTTAATAGCCTAATACATTTTTCTTGGGTCATTGAATCCACTGAATTCTCCTGCTATTGCAGGTAGCTGTGTTGTTGTTATAGGACATCTCTTCCATAAACTGATCAAGTTCCATTTTATAAACAGTTAAGTTTTTTGCCTCTGTTATTTCAGTTGGAAGACTGTGTTTATATTTAGCTAAAATTTTAACTCCTGATATCATGCAGAGGTGGAACATTCATGATAATATTTTAAAGAAGACATTTAATAATAGTAGAGTCTCCAAAGGCATTTAACTGCTGTTCCTAGGACAAGTTTTAAATACACATATATACACACAAAACTACACCATTCTGCAAGGTCTGTTTAAAAAATCAGGAATTATGCTTTATTTAAGTCACTGAAGTACATTAGTAAGGGAGTAGCCATCTGTGGGTGTGGGTTCTTTTTCACCTTGGAATTCACAACATTTTAAAGTGTTCTATATTTTGTAGAGGCTTCAAAAAGAAACTGAGACCAGTTTGATCAAAATGTGGTAGTGGGGGAGCTGGTGAGATTTTTCCACTAAAACTTTCTTCACAATATCAGAGCAGATATATATCTGCTAAAACGATCAACAGGGAAATAGTTGATGTTGGTGCTTTGAAGCCTGAAAAGTACACTTTCTTTTAAAGTTGCATCCTAATAAGGGATTGCTGCAGACTTACAAAGTTGCTCAAGACCTTTTGAAAACCCTGTCTAAGCTAGCTCCAGGCAAAAATTCTTTTTAAGGGTGAATCCTGTGGCTTTTTCAACTGCAAGACTGGGCTTCAGGCCCTTGAAGTCAGTCCCAATGAGCTTAAATGCCCCTTGAGGACTTATTGTTATAGGGAAAGAGTTTTATACGACCAAAATAATTTCAGCAATGCAAGCAACCTTTCCAAAATGAGCTAGCATTTATTAGGCAGAGTACAGCAACAGGGAGTATTTTAGGTTAGCATGAAAAAAACAAGTTTAAAATGCTACGTGTAAGTAGAGACAACTGTCAAACGTGATGTTCTCCTAAAATTCATTTTGTCTCTCTGACTCCTTTGGAATTAGTGTGAGCCTTCTAAGGCTCAGGAACAACATCTTGGATTCTCTCTCCATTATTTGGGGTTTTTCTATTTTTTATAGAAAAGTTGAGGAACACTTTTTCCCCCAAAATTTTAGCTCATTCATTCTCATTCAGAGGCTTCTACCTGGATAGCTAGTCATTACCTCTCAGACTGGTAAATCCATGCATGTAGTCTTTAGTTTATTGCCAACCCTAACAACTAAATAATAACAGTACCCTTGTTCTCCTGTCCCAGAGCAAGAATTTGACCCCTTTCCAGCCAGAGGGTCTGAATGTCCTGGGTGAACAGCTGTGCACATTATTTATTACAAAAACCTAAAAATGCCCATAATATTCCACAGAATGTCTCTCAGCTCACTTAAAGAACAGCTGACATATGTGCAAAGCTGAGATTCATGCTGATTTTCAGCACTTTCTCTGAAAATCTGCCTACAATAGATGTTGAGTTCATTGTGCCTGACAAATACAGAAGATGACGCATAATTTCCCTGCTTCTATATGAAAAGTTTGGAGGCTGGGTATTTCTCCTTATTCGCTTGTTAGCATCATCACTTCTAAATCTTTACAGGGAGGTGTCTTATTTGCAGGGGGCAATTAGTGTTCAATAGTGCGTCCACTGAAATACTTTTGAATAAAGGTGTACCAATACATAGGTGCTGACATAAAGAAATTTGACTGCATTGGAAATTGGCCTGATGTGGCTGATAAATGACCAGCTGTCCCCCCCC